TACAGGATGATTAGATGCATAAAATGTATAAAAATCAGGGAATTGCTTGGGTCGAATAGAACCAGTTTGGGATCGAGTTACCATTTGATGTTGAGTTGGATTGGGTATATGAAGGTGTTCAGTTTCTGACTCATTAGAGGTTAGGTGGGTCTCGATTGTTGGAGAAGGACTAAAGTCAGGTATGTGTTTGGTGGTGTTAGATGAAGAAGTAGCTAGTAATGGTAATTCTTCTTCATGTGGTTGGTGTGACAATATATTGAGTTGAGAGTAAAAGGGTGCAAGATCAGATGAAATACCTGGCACGGTGGCATTTGAAGTAGCAGAGCAAGTAGAGGAGGTCCATCCTTTTGCTGGAAAGTTTTGTTCATCAAAGGCTACATTGCGAGATATGTACATTTTATTAGAGACAGGGTCTAAACATCGATAGCCTCGATGGTGAGAAGGGTATCCAATAAAAATACATTGTTTACTCCTAAAAGCTAGTTTATGACTCGTGTAGGGTCTCAATAAAGGATAACAGGCACATCCAAAAGTTCTCATGAAAGAATAATCTGGGTTTTCCTCAAACAATTTTGCATATGGAGATGCATTTTTCAAAACAGGTGTGGGTACTCGGTTAATGAGGTAAATGGCTGTCATGAAGGCATCGACCCAGAATTTTGTAGGTAAATGTGATTGACTTAAAAGTGAGAGTCCAACTTCCATAATGTGTCGATGTTTTCGTTCAGCCAAACCATTTTGTTGAGAGGTATATGGACATGATAGGCGTTGATGGATACCATTTTTGCGAAGAAAAGATTGGAATTGGTTTGAGAGATATTCACCACCATTATCACATTAAAATTCTTTAATTGTTGAAGAGAAACGGTTTTCAACTTGGGCCTTAAATTGCATAAAACATGAGAGCACTTCGGATTTATTTTTAAGTGGGTACAACCAAGTAAATCTAGAGTAATCGTCAATGAAGATAACATAATAACGATGACCATCAGAAGATGGTGTAGGAGAGACCCAAACATCAGAATGAATAAATTTGAGTTTTGATAACGTGATACGGGAAGACTCATTGTAAGGTAATTTTTTTGCTTTTCCCAATAAACAAGATTCACAAACAGACTCAATATTAAAGGATCCATAAATAGGCAATTCAAAATTCTTGACTACATTTTTTGTGACTTGAAAAGATGGATGACCCAATCTCGAATGCCAACCATTAAGTGTAGTTCGAACACTTAAGAGAGCAGCATGAGACCGAAATTTATTGATAGATTTTCGATCAACTTGAATAGGATAGAGACTTCCTTCACTCCTCCCTACTAGCAACGTTCGTCCCGTGCAGTTGTCCTTAACAAGAAATTGAGAACCGGTTAGAATACAATAGCAATCATTATCTAAGCAAAGCTTATTTATTGACAAAAGGTTTACTGATGCTTGTGGACAATGAAGGACATTTTTTAAGTGTAATGGCAAAGGAGATTCCTGCAACGTGAGATTACCAGTATGCTTAATTTGTAAACAATTACCATTACCCACGGCTACTTTATCATCTCCATGATACGGCTCAGTCAAGTGAAGGTTTGAGAGATCTGTTGTGATATGTTGATTAGCGCCACTGTCTACATACCATGTGTTGTCCTCAAGAACAGAATTGGAATAAGCAGCCATAGCTGCTAGCTGTTGAGGAGGATGACGTCCCTGGTAATTGTAGTCATAGCGGTGGAAACGGTCAAGTGCCATATGACTCTTTTTCTTACAAATTTGACAAGCATAAGGGTCAAAGTCAGGTACGTTTGCGCAAGCAGGAATTTGATTTGGAATATGATTGGCAGTTTGAGGGGACTTCTTTGCCAGAGTAGGAGTCGTATTAGGATGAGCTTGTTGCCAATTCTTGTTATTTTTCTTTGGGTTCTTTCCTCCTCCAAACTTGTTTGCCATCATAGCAAAGTTGTTGTGATCATTGTGCAAATTTCTCTGCTGATTTTCAAGCAAGGCTTCAAAAGCAATTAATTCAGAGTGGAAATCATTTAATGTAATCGACTTCTCACGTTGTGCAAAATAGACATTGGATATGGAGTGAATGATGAGTTGAGTCCTCCCAGAATATGAGAGATTAAGTCCTCATCAGTCACGGGTTTTCCCACAGCGGCTAATTGGTCTGCAAGAACCTTAGCACCTTCAACAAAATCAAAACAACTTTTGCCTCCTTGCTATAGACTTTGCAGTTGACGTTTGAGTTGATTCACATTTGAGGATGAGGAAGAAGCATAACGATTTGCCACAGCAAGCCATGCTTACCGAGCAGATTTGAGGCCATAGACTAAGGACAATATCTTCTCTAAGATTGTGGACTTCATCCACACTAATACAAATCGATTTTTTTTTGTTCCATATGATAAACTCCGGATTAGAAATAGGAGCAGCAGTCCCTACAACAGGTAGGAACTCTTCTGGGCATGGTTCAGTACCATCCACAAAACCCAGAAGACCATGGATATCAAGGGCACCTTCAACTTAGGAAGACCAGTTTAAATAAGATGATGGTCCATCAAGTCTCACCGAGACAAACTGAACAAGATTGTTAGGTGGAATGAATGTAGTAGCGGAAGACATTATTGTAGGTAGGATTAGACGTTAGCCAAATATGGCTCTGATACCATGAAAGAAATAATAAGAAGGGCTTGGTAAATCATACCAAAGCCATATGTTTACTACGTATTTATAGGAGCAATATTTACATATTTGAAACATTCACATCCTCTAATGTAGCAAAATTACAGTAAATAATTCCTACAGATAATCCTATTGCCATGCTGGACATATGGCAGATTTGGAGCCTTCATCATTGCTAATATCAATCAACATTGCTGGTACTTTTATGAGAATTGGGAACAAGAATGGAAGGTTATGGTTGGAGGTGAAGTACGTGTAATGTTCAAGTCTTTTAGTAACATGCGAATCCAATAAAGTTTAGCAACCACCATCGCAAGAGCTCGATATTCAGCTTCCGTACTAGATCGAGCTACAACACTCTGCTTCTTAGCACACCACGATATTAAGCAAGGGCCAAAGAAAATACCATAGCCGGTAGTAGACCTTCGATCAGATGGGTCACCAGCCCAATCCGAATCACAGTATGCATTTAGAGTTAGAGGACCCTTGCTGAAGTACAAACCATGTTCAACAGTGCCTTTGAGGTAACGCAAGACTCGCTTAGCAGACTTC